CGAAAAAACCTCACAAGCTTACTCGGGTGTACATGTAATCCGCTACAACACTGCTAGTTTAGCACCCTTAATTTAGGGTTTGCTTACAAGGGTTCTCTGTGGGAAGTGAGGGTAGCTCCCCACGATACGTCTGAGGCTGTTTGTTGCCATGGCGATAGCCGGTCACCCTGTGGGGAAAACACACGTGACTTTCAGGGTTATAATGACTCCTTCTTGCTTCCATCTGAAAGATCGAAATGTTTACTTTTGGACATCCAGAGCAAATGGTAATTTGGATTTCTTTCTGCTCACCAGAACTGCTTCCGAGTAGCAATGTGTAACATGTTTATTTATCACGACCCCCCGAACACAGACAACTAACATGCATCCAATTTTTCCTGAGCCTGCAACGCGAATAATTTATACATGTACGTGTACATCAAAAATGTGTGGTCAACGGTTCCTAAACTTTTTTATTTTGTTATAGGCCTAAGTCAAGATATCAAATTTGTAGTCCTTTGGGAAAAAGTTTGTCAAATTGTTCATTTGTAAGCATAATAAATAATCTGCATGTACATGTATACATCGAATCAACCAAATTCTTCTCTAAATGAACTGAATCTAGAGAAAAAGTTGTGGGTTGATATTTGTCGATGATGGTGGCGTTTTCATCTCCCTTCGTGCAAAGAAATGCCCTCATTTCCTTTACAAAGTCCATAATGCACATTTTCCTCGGGGACATGTTGCGTCATGACAGGGCGACTTAGTTCACTCGATAGTTTCTGTTCGAACTGTGAACGCAAAATGTGAACAACGTGGTTCACAGAACTAATGTCATGAATTGAAACAAAAACACAATTAAGCAAATTTTCAAACACGGCAAAATATTAAAGTCAAATTTCCAAAAATGCTCGCATATTTTGGAGCTGAAAAACCTGTATTATGAAGGTTTCTTTCTGGGATGATGAATTCAAACTTATGGTGAATAGTATGCCTACTTTAAACGCATAAAATGACATTGGCAAGAATTGCCTTCAGAATTGCAAAATGAAATTAAATAAAGTTAAGCGGGACACAATTGATGAAGCAGTTTTTTTTATAGAAATATATTATTGACCGCTTTACGGTAAAGTGTGATCATGAAGCATTCTATTTTTCTCGAGGCAGTGACGTATCCAGCAGGGGGCGGATTGACAAGTTTCCCCCTCCCTGGAGACATCTCAACATAGTTTTAAGCAATTGAAAGCGCCAACACTTTGCCTCTCCCCTCCCCAGACTCAAAACCTGGAGACGCTAACCGTCTCAAGGCGAAATGCCACCTCTCGAAGTAGTGAAATAATGTACGAAGCATTTGTTGCACCGAATCGCATCGCTTCCCAGGCATTGCGCACAGAAGACACACACACACAGGAACAAAAACTGCTAACACAGCAATATACTTACTTGACCGGGAATTTAAAGAATCTATGATCTCTTGAATGTCGCCTCTGCAAAGGTGATGACTGCTCTTTCTTTGGAGGGAGAGGAGGCGTCTCTGGGCTTTTTTCCTCCTGATACAGGATTTTGAGACGATCTGGTTTGGGGGGTCGACCCGGTGGTTTGTTTCTTACGTTTGGCTGAGGGCTCCGTGGAGGGGTGTCACATCTAGGGCTCCGCGGAGGGGTGTCGCATCCAAGGCTCCGCGGAGGGATTGGTGGAGGTATGGGCTCATACACTTGCTCATTTAAGTAGCTCATTTCTCCTGCAGAAATCTTCAAGACTCTTGCAGCGAGAGTGGAAATTTGGACCCCTTCGTTGCGATTCACTGTCGATCGAATTATGGAGCGCACTTTAAGCTTCCTGAATGCCGGTATGAAAATCACATCGCGGTCGCCTGAGTCGAATTGATGAGGGTTCATCAGCTGGCAAATTGTCACACTAATTTGGCACCGCCCAGTTATCTCCAAAGGAGACATGCTGAGGAGCAGATCATCACTAGCGTCCGCTTCGTCATGTATCGAGCTCACTTTCGGCTGGGAGAGATTAACCCGAACAGGTAATTCCTCATGCGCCAAAATGTGTTGCAAATCGACGTCTCCTATCACTTGGGCACTCTCATAGAAGTTGGCCTTTGCGAACGTCGCCACCTTGATTTTGCCTACCTTGCCAACTAACGAGCGACTTCTGTCCATCGAGACAACCTCGTACTCGTCTTTGGTACCGTAAAATGGCTCTGTCTGCAAGCTGCACAATTTAACAACGTCATGCTGATACAAGGTGTCTGTGAATTCGTCCATGGCCTTGAAGGTTGTCCCCACATGAACCTCGTCACACATGCGAGTTCGCAGCAAGTCTTCTACAGTGCTCCAGGTTATTTCTGTGACCTGTAAAGACAATTGATTAACATGCAGGAAGATTTGTAAATGACAATAAGTGAAAATCATTGTGCCTGCTTAGCCTATCAGTTTGAGCGATGTCTTATTCGTCAGCCGGACACTTTTTTCCATAACTGTTACTGATCAATTTGCCAACACTAATTCTTGGCAAAATGTACCCTAAAATAATGATGCTTACATGGCCGACGCTAGAGTCTGAATAAATGCGCTGAACAACGCCACAAATAGGATAACTGAAGGACCGATTTCTATGGAACGAGCAAACCAGTACAGTAATACTGAACGCTTGGCAGATTGGGGTCATTTTCATGCTTACTGCCAAGTAACATACATTTTGCTGAGCACAGAAAAGGCTTGCTTAGCACAATTAAGTAGGTTATCAACCAAGATTCTACGAAACTTCTGCTGCTTCTAATTCCCTACTAGCTTACTCAGCACAAGTATTTGCAAAGCAATAACTTCCGTTTTTAAGCAGTCCCGAAAAATTGAGTCCAGGTTATACAACATGAGCCATCCCTTTTCTCCTTAACCACGGAGGAAGTAAACCAACCTATCTTAACGTATAAGCTCAGCTAAGTTGGAAACACTGTTTTAGGGAACGTTTCGAACTGGTGATTTAAATCTACGATAAAAAAGAAACCGTTTTTGCTCAAAAAGTAGTGTGAGGAAAGGAGATAGGCGTGGTCTGGCGAAGATTGTTCGGTGGGTGTTAACTTAGTGCCATTAAGTGTTGTACATGTACCTTGAAAAGTGACGGGTAGCTTTCAGGAATAAGAATTCTAGTGTCGTTTCTTCCCACGGCAATGGTGTAATCAAACGTTCGTGATCCAAAGATAAGGAGGATGGTGTCTTTCGGGCAGCCTGGCACCACACTCTCCTGGTCAACCACAACTGCGACCTTCTTGTCGTCCGTCGAGGCCTTCTTAGCCAAGTCATGCACGTCCACAACCGGCCCAATCTTGTTGCCCCAGTCTTGCCTTGGGTGAACAAACACATCGGTGGACACGGGGATTCGAATGATCCGGTTGGGATCCTCCCACGGACAAGCTTCCACCACTTCGATATTGCTCAAATTCATCTCCCCGTCGAAGTCGGCTTCCAGCGACGGAATGCCGTGGTGCCTGCCTCTCATTCTCTGCCCCTCGTCGTAATACAGCCGGACCCGTTGCGGCAAACGATGGTAGATGCTGTCCAGGTTAACGACATAGTTGGATTTGTCGACTTTTTTGGCGAATGAGTGTCCTATGTCGCCGGACAGTTTGACGAGTTGATTTGTTCGTATGTTTTTGCAACGTAGCGAGGGGATTTCACCCGGTGAATTCCTTGCCACCAGCTTCAGACGATCCCCAACTTTAACTCCTTCGACGCCGTTTACTGTCTTCACCACGCGTATGAAATCGGGAAAATCTTGCATCATCTGCTCGAGCGTACTGTAGACGTGTCCATCCTTAAACGGAGAGATCACTTCAAACCGGGCCTCATCAAAGTGCCTGTTGACGGTAATTAGCCCCTTTTTGCTCGCACAAGCATAGATGCCGTCAAACGTGATATTGACTTCCTCCTTGACAGACACGAGACGAAGGATGTCCCCATTGGAAAAGTCTCTCACCTCGCAATCCTTTTCGTGTGAACCATATATCCCCTCTGCAATCTCAACAACCACAGGGAGACAGGATTTGTTTTTCTGGATGAAACTGGACAGAGGTTCAGGCAAATTAGGAGTAGCCATACTGCATCGTACGGAATACAACTTCCCCGCATGAACACCAAGTTTAACTCATAACTGAGCGGGAACATTCATCAAGTCAAATACGTCCATTAATTCGATGTTACCACTTCCGCCTTTGAAGTTCACGTTGTCAGATTTCATGAACTTTATTCCTTCTCCACATCACTGATGCTGAAAACGACCTTTTGTCATGCTTATGGTAACTACAATGTGACACGCCGTACACAAATGAAGTCCACGGTTGAACGTGTCGAAGGTCAAATGCGTTGCATGAATACGCCACCAACAGTGTACATGTACGATGTGCGACTCGCGGAGTTTTCGATATTAAATGAACTTTATTTCCGCAAGAGAAAAAATATGATGACAATAAAATACAGGACATGGTAAGTACACTTACACCCCCCGAGAAAAAAACTAAACAACAGCATAAAACTGAGACCCGGACATGAACAGACTTCCATTTGAATGTTTGATTTTGTAATACAACGTGTACAGGCCTTTAGCATACAACTTTCAAAACCACACAAAATTAGATATTTCAAGGTCTGCAAAACTGAAAAAACAAAACAAATTGGCCTGCTATTTCGGGTGGATTAGTATTTCGCCCGGACAGATTAGTATTTTGCCTGGGTGAAATAGTGATCCACCCGGGGAGTGACGTAGATCAGTGTGTCAGAACGCGGGATGATTTTCTTTTTTTTTGGGGGGGGGTGACTCAGATAAACCGTTCCGACATTTTTCTTCGCTATTGTGTCGAAGATGCGAAGTGACTCATAAAGTGCTCTCTCACTCCTGCATTTAACAAAGGCAGAGATGTTCTCCTAATTAATCACCTTTCCCCCCGCAGACTAACTTAACAGGAATGTCAATAGAACTGATTGAAAATTACCCTTATGAATCTATCAAACGTTTTAGCCATAAAACCTGAACAAAAGTGCATCAGTTCTCTGCTCTGACAGGGCGAGAGCTCAGTCTTGCCATTTGATGACAAAATAACTTTCCTTGTATATCATTCTTTTTTTAGAGAAATGGAGAGAGTTTAACTTAGGCTAGTTTACCACATTATATCACAGACACTTTTATTTGCAGAATAAAGCCAATGATTTAGGCTATAAGGAAATAAAACGCTTTCAATTGATACTATTGATGTTAAAGTGACTGGAGTTGGCGGCACCAATGAATTTCTATGAATTAAATCGCAAGACCTTCAGGATCTTTTTTACTTCTTATGAAAATTTTGATGTAGTAATTGGTAACTTAAATGGCAATTAAATGTACATTGGTGCTTTTGTTTTATGCTATTTTGTAATGAACTTGTTTAGTTTATGGAGTCCCAAGGAAAATAAGCATGTCAAACAGGCTTTTTGGGACTGATATCCAAGATTAAATCAACCGCGTCGATTTCTTCTGAGTAAAATCGACATTAATTTGGGCGGCCATTGTGGAACAAATCTATTACTTGGATATCAAGTCTTTGACACTCCGGATAAGCTACGTACATAATTGTTTAGGAGTCAGCCTTTTGTTTCTCTTTAAAAAGGGAGACTGGCTCGTGACAGACAGAAAGTTTAAAATCGAGACTGACCTACTATCGTAACGCACGGGTAAATGTGCGTGGCAAAGGGGAAGGCAAGAGGGCACTTGCCTCCCCTCAAGAAAAATAAAAACAAAATAATAAAATGTGAAAGATATCAATGCCAAAAAAAAAAGATTAAGGGAATACAAAGCACCATACCTAGCTTAAAAATTGTAACTATTTTTTTTCTGTTTTTTCCTTTGTTTTTGTCCGTTTCCCGTCATGAGGCGTCCCCCCCCCGCAGAACTTGGCCATCCCATCCGCGATTTTAATAAAACTCTGCATGCGTGTTAAGACAATCATAATCAATACAAATAATCAATACATCAGTACCTTTAAAGACCATTTGAAGTTTGGGGCCACGCGCTTGCCAGCGTGTCCTAGCAAACGTGTGCGCTTGGAAAAGGTATGTTTTGGGCTGACCTGCTTCGGGAAACTGGGTACTACACGAAAACAGCAGGTCCGATTCTCATAAAAAAGGGGCAAAAATAACTACAAAGAGTTACTCACAAAAGCCTGAAAGACCAAAAGAGTGAAAAATGCACTGTGAGGCTACAGTAAGAAAATGTGGAGTGGGCCGAAACGTCTCCGGCCTAATTTTTGGGGCGGGGGACAGACCACAGAAAAATGGACTACGATTTGTGAAAAAAAAATCATTTTACAGCCTCCCTCAACCCCAATCTGTGGCTTTCCCCTCTGAAAAGCAAACCCGGGCCACACTTAATGAGAAACCTTGCAATTGAAATGATTTTGAATGAAAAAAGTACTCAAAAATCCTTTTTTCTTCTTTTTACGAAAAAGTGGGGGATGATTCAGTGGTCCACCCCCGGCAACAAGTGAGTGATATATAAACCCTACCTCCAGACGAAATCAAAATAAGTAATCCCCCCCCCAAAAAAAACCGGATGAATGGATATTGAACAAGGCTAACAAAAGCTTCCCCCCCCAAAAAAAGAGAAAAAATTACCACTGGAAGCTGGTGCCCCCTTGTGCCCCTACTAGTAAAATCCTAGCTATTCCACCGGGTGCCTGCCTAGAGAGTAGTGGTGCTATTGCAGAAGACCTATTAATTCTTGGATGTTGGGGACTACAAAATTCTGATATCGCCTGGTCGTTGAGATTGGGAAAAATGTGTGTGGATGCCGCCACCAGTAAGGAGTGCTTTTCACGATAAAGGTGTACATTATGTACACACCCTACTTGCCTGCTTTTATGCCGTGACCTTAGCCATAGAAATGGTCCCAACAAGTTCATTTTACAAATTAATTCTTTTAGTTGCAACCAGATCCCTTGCGGCGTCATCTGTACGGGACAGCCAGAATTTTGGCGATTGTACAGTAGCCAGCAGAAGCAGAAATGTTGCTGTTGCAATGCCAAGTTTAAGTTTCAGTGCTGTTTGTTCTTTGATTTCACTGGCCCATGTATTTTGTGCATTTTGGCTGTTGTAAAGACAGCAAATACATTACCAAAATTCGCAATTGTTGTGTCTCACCACCGAAATGGGGGAAGGGGAGTGTAGTAAATCCCCCCCCCCACTAGAGGGGTGAGGGATAGAATCACAAATCAATTCTTATTTATGCTATTTTTGAAGGACCTTTCAAATCAGTTTGTGGCATGTTTGGACCAAAAGAATACATCTAATGACTTCCCCCTAACTCAAGCCGAATGCCATGATTCAGAATATAAGAAATCACAAATTTAAAAGCCTTTATTATCCGACATGAAATTAATTTGTAATGAACTTTTATTTCATTGCTTTCATTCATATTCTTAGGTTCCCAGACTAAAACAGTTAACCTCGCTTTCAATTCAATATGGCCGACTTGAGAATAAGGTCAGTGGTTCATAAAGGCTTGTAGGTTTATGACAATGAAACAATACAAATCTACTGAATTTTTTCATCATTCATTTTGGTTTATTCCACTTTATATTGTCATGGTTAAATTTTAGTGGGAATTATGGGGAGAATGCAAACTTAAACATGGGATAACTCAAGGTTTAACTGTGAGGTACCTCATAAAAAAATCAAGGTAAACCTTAAGTTACCGTTTGTTGAATACATTGGATTTTTTCCCCCCTGACTTGCCTTCATGACAACTTAACCCTGGCCTGCTACAAAGTAACATGTACATTCTCCAAACGACTGGCCCATGCTTTGTAGTACAAACACTACCATAGTTGAGGTCAGCAACACAGCAACTCCCCCAGGAATGCCAAGCTAATGGAAGACTTGTCAGACTCTTGGTCCTGGTAAACATACCAGTCCTACATCATCAATCAGTGCACTCTTGTTGGCATCATTTCTAGCATGCTTAAACGTGACGCACACAATAGTTGACTGGTCATATGAGACAGGTGTATTTGCTGCCATAAAGGATCTCAAAAGTCTCCCCTTTGATATAAAAATGGCACCCTCAAGTTCACTCCATTTAGAGTCTCTGCTGATAATGTAAGGCATCCTCCAAAGCCCTTTGTCCGTAAAGTGTCCGGCAGAACATCAATGTGACATCCCTTGCCAGTACATGTACCATAGTTCCTATCCCATCTCCTGCAGTATTCTGTCCCTTTCCTCAGGAGGTGGAAGTGATGGTTTTATCCCAAGTCTCCGCCTCTCTTTTGAAATGTTCATCTAAATAACCAAAATATGAAGACATGTATTTCCATTAATTCACAAGCATTACTTAAAGTTGTCTCTCAGCCTAAAGAGAACATTTTTCTTAACCAACCCAAAGCCATGGGGTGATTCTGTCCTCTCCCCCCCCCCCCCGGTCATCTTAGGAAATACCTTCATTATAATGTGGCATGCATGACAGAAAATCCAAGCTTAGTTTAAATACATTTAACCTGCGACAAAGATTTCTAAAGGGGTTATATTCATTATCTACTGTACATGCATGTATATGTATGCATATTTTGCACCTTGATGAGTTCAGAATTTATTTCAATTAATTAAGGAAATAACTTCACCAAGTTTAACTTGTACAATCATACCAGACATTTCAGAAACAAAGTCTAGGCTCAATGATTTGAGCCATGGAAGTATACTTGTTTGACCTCAATTTTTAATCGGGCAAAAAACCAATCCACATGGTAAAAATACAGTAGCGTTCACAGCATGCAAAGTACAATAAATGACGTCATCACAGTGCAATCACACCTGTGGTATTATGTGTGTGTGACTACTACGCTTATCACAGAACAAGTTGACTACAGTTTCTACGGACTTGTCAGCCTTTGTTCTGGTTGAGAGAATTTGTTCATAGTTTCTAACCTCTGTGAGGTCATTCTTCACTTCAGCATCACAGGAAACACCTCATTTTACACCCCAACATCATTTGCCATATTTTTACTACATGTTCAATTACTTCAAAGTTGGTTTGCAACAAAATTGTATGTTTTTCATGTTTGGTGCACAAAATGCTACTGAGCCCACTCACCTTAATTAAACAGTAAATCAGATTCCAAAACTCCTGTAGTTAAATTCAAAAAGGTCATTTTCCCAAATTTAAAAAATGACCTCTTCAACTTTGCATATACAAAAGTTTAGGAGCAGGAGTACACCTGTCAGTCATCAAAATAAATCTACATGCACATGTACATGCATGTGGCTTTCACTTCCAAAGTATATTCGGATATAAAACTACTACAAGCATTGAATCAATCTGCCATCTGAATGGTGTGTCACTGATCACCAATGCATCACGTATACATCCAGAAGATCCATTCTACAGGTGAATGGAATGTGAAATTACATACATGTAGCTTGGATCCAAGACAATTTCAACCTTGTAAGTGATGTAGGGATTTACTCAAGATGATATCAGATGAAGCAGGGAGATGTTCAAGATTTATCAATGAGTGCATCAATTTCATTTTACACAAGGTATAATTTTATGAGGCGACAGATGAAATTTTCCACCCCACTCAACTTCACCTCATGGAATGGAAAATTCCACCATTACCTCATGAAATTATTTTTAGCACTGTATTCATAAATATTCATTATTTGCACACCATACGAGACTCACCCAAAATCGTTGGCAGTTTTGGTAATTGACAAAATATGTCTGGCATGACTTCCTGTCAAAGTTAGTTTCATGGAGACACTTGTAGGATGCATCAGCTTCCTGATAAAATAAGGAAATTTGACAAAAAATGCATCTTTGAATTTATAAAAATGTACACAGACTTGAAGAGAAGCAGTTGAACAAGCTGAAACCAACAATGTGAAGTTAATTAAACAACACGAAAGATATGATACTTGGCTTTGTACTGGGGACGTTACCGGTAGTTTTGTGCTAGTTTCTGCCCTTACACTGACATATATATGTTACACTTTATCTCAAGATGGCCGAAGTTTATCAAAAAAATAAGCTTGTTTGGGTGGGATTTGAACCCAAGACTTCCTGTTTTAAGTGCAAACATCTTGCTATGAAATACATACAAGTTTTTTCTATAGTTTTGCAACTCTCAGACCTTACAGTACAAATCTATACATCTGTGTAAGAGCATAAAGTCTAGTAGAAAAATACAAGCATGAAAGCAGGTACAGTACAGCACTGGACTTATCTCACATCAATATAATATTCCTCTTACAGTATATACACGTAAAAGGGCAACCCTGAGAAAGGTTACAAAAATCACATTGTTGAGTGTCTGCATATTACTATCACACAAACCATGCACCTGACCTCTGTAACTGTAGTGTCTGCATATTACTATCCCACAAACCATGCACCTGACCTCTCTAACTCCAATTCGTTTTCTGTAAGGCTGCATGTGTGAATTGGGTTTTCATAACAAGTATTATCTGTGGGTTTCTGAACACACGCACAGAGGGTACACTGTACTTCAAGTGTGGGTTCTACATTACTCAATGACTTCATCTGTCCAACATTTCAAACTCCATAACAGGAGATCAGAAACTAACCTGCATCCCTTTACAGATAAGTACTTGCACTATTCCTTGCACAAATTTAGACTAACTACATGCACATGTTTATATACATGAACAAGTGTGTGGCATAATCAGGAAATGAGACACCATAAGTTTTCATTTACTTCTGAAGTACTGATATCTACCCTAGGACAGTCCATTTAACACAAGTATTTATTCTTCCACTGTTGGGGAATAATGAACTGTAAAGATCCAGTGTTCAGTGTACATCTAGACCGTGTAAGACACTGACGGATACAATGTACATGTATGTACATGTACTTGTCTGTAGCTTAACTTTTAGATTTCATATCTCCGAGCAGCTCGCACTTGTGCAAAGTGATGTTGTAAGGATTTGTCATGCATACCACATTGAATACATGCAATGCAACAGTATTCATTTGTAAAATAGTTTGGGCTTACATCAGATAAAGTATGACTAATACAAATACCAAAACTGTCACCAATTTGAAAAATGACCAACAGTTGGAAATGGTAAGCCTGAATCCTTAGACATACCCACAAAGTAAAAGATAAGAACCAACCAACTTTTCAATCTCTTCAATAGTATTCCAAACTTCAAACCTTGTTCACATGTGCTGTACATATACTATGCAGCAAATATTTTTGCAAGTTAATTTCCTTCCCTAAATTCCACTAAAACTAACACATACCGGTGGATTATGTTCGAATAATGTTGGCATTTACCAGTTCATGTACCAATGCGTTCTCTCTCAAATTTCTCAAATGACTCAATCTGTACTTTTGTCATCTTTTTGCTGTACAGTAGACTTTCCTCAAGTTGGTGTTGGGTGAACAGGCCAACCAGTGCAACAAGTAGTACTTTTGAATGACTGGGAGGTGGACTGATGCTACAAACATCAAGATGACACGGTATTTGGCCTTCAAGTGCCAAATTCTCAAGATCAAAACTATACTTTCCATTCTCTATTGGATCAAACTGACCCAAATTGTTGAATCTGCTTCCACCTGTTAGATTTCGGATGCAGGGAAAGTTGAAGCTTGGTCAGGGTGTTTGTCATTAGCCACACCACACTACAGGTAGCTACATGTACATGTACAAGGCACATGTAGCTATTTGTTGCCACCGTTGTTTTTCAAGTGCAGTAGAACAGTCAAGATAAACTGCAACTTCACATTCCAAGCATGATATGCAAATCAGCTGAACTCTTCCTGTCACTGTTTATCTAGATTTTACCACTGCAAACATACATGTACATTAGGCCTATACAGGTAGCTAGTTAGTGCGGTGTGATCAATGACGAGACTTGATACCAACCAAGGCTAGTTGAAACTGGTCTTTGCAACTACTCTCCCATTCAGAATACTACTCCAACAACATCAAAACAATGCACACCACAAACAAAAAACCCGGAAGACTTGCTGTTTCATAAAAAGACGGTCTGTCATAGGTACTACGCATATGTTTGGTCCCCATAGACTGCGCATGCATTTAGTTTGTGTACTCGCGCATGCACAATAGTGACATATGGTTGTCGGTGTGGAGAATTTAACTACATTGTAGCAGACAATGCATGTTGGTGGTATCCCATGTGAGGGATTTGTATTGCCATTTCCCTTGAAGACCTCTCGGGTGAAAATTACCAATAATCTATCAAATGGTGATATTTAATAACTTCTGTGTAAGAGGACCTTTGGAAAAGAATCAAAGAACTGGACAGAAATTTTATGACGAAGGATAATTATGAAAAACTTAACTTTTTTACCGAACTTTGTATCTACCGGTACTTTTCACAATTTTGCTGGGTTTTACTTTCAAATAACCTTGATGCCACATGAAAGACTAATAACTGTTAGGAAAAAACATTTATTACCTCATGGAAGAAATCCTTTTCTTTGAAATTCACTTTGTTTTTCATTGGGACCCATTTTCATCATTTTCATGTTTTTCACCCTTACTTACTTCTCAATTTTCACACTGTTGTCAAAGTTCCCTCAGAACATCCGAGATGCTGTTTTGAAGACTGATGAATCGTTTGTATAGATGTACATGTATCAGCTCATTTCTTTAAGGCTGAGAGCCACTGGTTTGAAATGCAGTTTGTTTTTCATGCGGATGCAAATTTCCGCATGGAATCTGACAGCAGTCCAACATGAGATGTCCAGAGTTGGGGCATGGCATAAACTTTCATGCACACCCAAGTGAGTTTGGGTATGAATTGACTTGTACTGCATTGCACTATATATGTACAATAACATCAAATCGCTCGACCAAAGGGCACAGACTGAAACTTTGACCTCATTTATTCAACTTTGACCTTCTTGCATGATGCATGTACTTACTCGTTAGAGCATTCATGATATTACCCATCAATCACAAGTAGACGCATGTGAGGGAAAATCCGGTAAAACTGAAAAAATATTCTCGAAAATGTTCGCTTCCCAATTCCAACTATTACTTTGAAGGTACATGTACGTGTACGTGATAAGGGTGGGCAAAAATTTGGCAGAAAATGGATTTGTATCATGTGCAAGTTT